CAATGGAGTGATGTTCAGAGGCAGACAGAGACCAGAACGAGACCAGAGAGAGACCAGAGAGAGACCAGAGAGGAGGACTAAAGAGGGACCAGAGAGAGACTAGAGAGGGACCAGAGAGAGAGACCAGAGAGAGACCAGAGAGAGACCAGAGAGAGACCAGAGAGAAACCAGAGAGAGACTAGAGAGGGACCAGAGAGAGACCAGAGAGACACCAGAATGAGACCAGAGAGAGACCAGAGAGAAACCAGAGAGAGACCAGAGAGAAACCAGAGAGACCAGAGAGAGAGACCAGAGAGAGACCAGAATGAGACCAGAGAGAGACCAGAGAGAAACCAGAGAGACCAGAGAGAGAGACCAGAGAGAGACCAGAGAGAGACCAGAATGAGACCAGAATGAGACCAGAGAGAGACCAGAATGAGACCAGAGAGAGACCAGAATGAGACCAGAGAGAGACCAGAGAGAGAGACACACACACACACACACACACACACACACACACACACACACACACACACACACACACACACACACACACACCTCCATGCCGTTCTTCTTCATGCGTCTGCAGGACTTGAGGTAGGTCCGGATCCGTTTTCTCGCTCGTTCCTGGAACTCTGGAAACTGTCGAGAGCAGGACTCGATGATGGCCTGGATCTTCTCTTTGGGCTGTTTGGAGATGGGCACCATGCGGTCCAGGTTCTCATCCACAAACAGACGCACAAACATCTGAGGACACACAACACACACACACGATTAGAACATGGCCTTTGCGACCTTTACCCCATGGTACCCACACCATGAACACCCTGTACAAGGAGGAGGTGAGGGACAGGAGGAGCCTCCCACAGGACTGAGGAGGAGCTCCTTCAGCTGTCAGACTGTACAATAAGTCACTTTGATCTACAGGGACCAGAAGAGAAAGGTACAGACACAGAGAGAGAGACTGGAGCTGGACTCACGTTGAAGGCCTTGAGTCTCTCGGGGTCCACTCCCTCGGCCTCGTTCATCTTGTCGGTGTCGTCGTGGTCGTCGTGGTCGTCATCGTCATCGTCAGGGGTCACCTGGTGCGGTCGGCAGGTCAGGTCCTCTGCAGACTGGTCCATCTTCACACCATCGTAACTGCCACCAGAGCTGTACTGAGGAGACTGAGGAGAGAGACCAGAGTGAGACCAGAGGGACCAGAGAGAGACAAGAGAGAGACACCAGAGAGAGACCAGAGAGACCAGAGAGAGACCAGAGAGAGACCAGAGGGACCAGAGAGAGACCAGAGAGAGACCAGAGGGACCAGAGAGAGAGCAGAGAGAGAGAGATCAGAGAGACCAGAGAGACCAGAGTGAGACCAGAGAGAGACCGGAGAGAGACCAGAGGGACCAGAGAGAGACCAGAGAGAGACCAGAGGGACCAGAGGGACCAGAGAGAGAGCAGAGAGAGAGAGACCAGAGAGACCAGAGTGAGACCAGAGAGAGACCAGAGAGAGACCAGAGGGACCAGAGGGACCAGAGAGAGAGCAGAGAGAGAGAGACCAGAGAGACCAGAGTGAGACCAGAGAGAGACCAGAGAGAGGAGGAGGCCGGACTAATGCTATTGTGTTCAAGGATATTTCTAAAGAAGAACTTTAGAACACTTAAGAAGACACCACTATAAAACCAACACATTATTATTATAGTCCTGGGTCTACAGCCTCAGTCCTGGGTCTACAGCCTCAGTCCTGGGTCTACAGCCTCAGTCCTGGGTCTACAGCCTCAGTCCTGGGTCTACAGCCTCAGTCCTGGGTCTACAGCCTCAGTCCTGGGTCTACAGCCTCAGTCCTGGGTCTACAGCCTCAGTCCTGGGTCTACAGCCTCAGTCCTGGGTCTCACCTTGCTCCCGTAGTCCCTGGCGTCCCGTTCCAGCCGCAGCTCGGAGGCGTGTGATTGGCTGAGAGCGGTGGTGGCCGGGTACTTGCGGCGCAGTTCCTGGGGCGGGTGTAGCGCCCCCAGCAGGGCAGCCGCGGCCACGGTCACGCTCACAGGCAGGCGTGAGGGCGGAGGGGGCGGGGCCTGAGGCGGCGGCTGGTCCTCGCAGGACGACGAGGACGAGGCGGAGGCGCTGAAGTCCAGAGGGACGCCATTACAGCTCACCACCGCCGCCGCCAGGACCGTGGAGGGGGGCGGAGTTAGAGCGGGGACGCCATTCCCACTGCCGCTCTCTGAAGACGAGTCATCTGTGAGAGAAACAGGAGTCAGACACAACCACAGCAGTTGGTGATTCACAAACACAGATCAGAGAATCACACACAGACACAGAAGGAGCGGGACCATAAGGAGCGGGACCATCAGTGTCCAGACACCCTCATGACCCTCAGACGCCCTCAGAGACCCTCAGATTCCCTCAGAGACCCTCATGCCCTCAGAGACCTTCATGACCCTCAAGACCCTCAGACGCCCTCAGAGACCCTCAGACGCCCTCAGAGACCCTCATGCCCTCAGAGACCCTCAAGACCCTCATGACCCTCAAGACCCTCAGACGCCCTCAGAGACCCTCATGACCCTCAAGACCCTCAGAGGCCCTCAGAGACCCTCATGACCCTCAGAGACCCTAAAGACCCTCAGACGCCCCTCAGAGACCCTCATGACCCTAAAGACCCTTAGAGGCCCTCAGAGACCCTAATGACCCTCAAGACCCTCAGAGGTCCTCATGACCCTCAGAGACCCTCATAACCCTCAGAGGCCCTCATGACCCTCAGAGGCCCTCATGACCCTCAGAGACCGTCATGAACCTCAGAGACCCTCCTGAGGTTCCACTCCCTCAGAGACCCTCAGAGACCCTCCTGAGGTTCCGCTCCCTCAGCCTGTAGACCCAGACCCAGTCTCTGGTCGTAGACTTCAGACTGAACTTCATCTTTGGTTTGTAACGAAGAATGACTTCAAAGAAAAGGTTTGAACAGTTTAGAACAAAGAAACTACAATCCACCCTTTAACAGACGCCCTTTAACTCTGCTCCACAGACGCCCTTTAACTCTGCTCCACAGACGCTCTTTAACTCTGCTCCACAGACGCCCTTTAACTCTGCTCCACAGACGCCCTTTAACTCTGCTCCACAGACGCCCTTTAACTCTGCTCCACAGACGCCCTTTAACTCTGCTCCACAGACGCCCTTTAACTCTGCTCCACAGACGCCCTTTAACTCTGCTCCACAGACGCCCTTTAACTCTGCTCCACAGACGCCCTTTAACTCTGCTCCACAGACGCCCTTTAACTCTGCTCCACAGACGCCCTTTAACTCTGCTCCACAGACGCCCTTTAACTCTGCTCCACAGACGCCCTTTAACTCTGCTCCACAGACGCCCTTTAACTCTGCTCCACAGACGCCCTTTAACTCTGCTCCACAGACGCCCTTTAACACAGAGATCATGTAAACACAGCAGTACTGAGGCCGTCCAGTAGGGGACAGTCTCACCCTCTTCACTTAAGATTTACCCACAAGCCACTGGGACAGTCAGTCAATGACCTTTAACAACTCTCTGGTTTTTAGTGTTGAAAGTATTACAGTGCCTTGCGAAAGTATTCGGCCCCCTTGAACCTTTCAACATTTCGCCACATTTCAGGCTTCAAACATAAAGATATCAAATTTTAATTTTTTGTCATGAATCAGCAACAAGTGAGACACAATCGTGAAGTGGAACAAAATTTATTGGATAATTTAAACTTTTTTAACAAATAAAAAACTGAAAAGTAGGGCGTGCAATATTATTGGGCCCCTTTACTTTCAGTGCAGCAAACTCAGTCCAGAAGTTCAGTGAGGATCTTTGAATGATCCAATGTTGTCCTAAATGACTGATGATGATAAATAGAATGCACCTGTGTGTAATCAAGTCTCCGTATAAATGCACCTGCTCTTTGATAGTCTCAGGGTTCTGTTCTGGATATGAAATAGACGTATCCAGGTGTTAGAATGGCCAAGTCAAAGTCCAGACCTGAATCCAATCGAGAGCGTTACCATAGCAACACACTGTTTACAGTTAGCATTAGCTTTAGCACTCACTGCTTTTGCTCTCTCAATTTCACCAGACAGAGACCAGAGAGAGACCAGACAGAGACCAGAGAGAGACCAGACAGAGACCAGAGAGAGACCAGACAGAGACCAGAGAGAGACCAGACAGAGACCAGAGAGAGACCAGACAGAGACCAGAGAGAGACCAGACAGAGACCAGAGAGACACCAGAGAGAGAGACCAGAGAGAGACCAGAGACAGACTTTTTCAACCATGCACATGACCAAATCCTTGACACTGATAAAAAAACCGTCGCTGTCGTATTCCAAGGTGGTTTTACTGCACTACTAAATAAGCAGATTCTGAGAAGGACCAGAAGGAGACCGTACCATATGCAAACAAACTGATGAAGTTAGAACGATGGTCCCAGAGTGAGACCTGTTTCATAAAAGCACAAGAACCATGTGTAACAGTCAGTGTGTGTCTGCCCTCGGCTCCTTGCCCTCTCTCACCTTCTCACACAAAGACCTCCACATGGGACGCTCCACGTGCCTCCCCCTCCTCCCCCCTCCCCCCCCTCCTCCCCCCCTCAGCCTGTGGACTCCCCCTCCCCCCTCCGTGACCTCCTTCTCCCACGAGCCTCAACACAACAGCCTTAAAGAACATACTCTGATAAATCATACAGTATGGAGTTCATTAACGATCGTGTTCTCTCTGGGTCTCTCTTTGGTCTCTCTCTTATCTCTAGCCTAACAAGTATAAAATCTATCTTGAGCATGAAAATAATAAAACATAATATTATTTATAACATAGTGCTGTACCAACCGGGACCCTGAGGAGCACAGGGACTGGCCTCCTGCTGGGACTCTGAGGAGCACAGGGACTGGACTCCTGCTGGGACTCTGAGGAGCACAGGGACTGGCCTCCTGCTGGGACTCTGAGGAGCACAGGGACTGGCCTCCTGCTGGGACTCTGAGGAGCACAGGGACTGGCCTCCTGCTGGGACTCTGAGGAGCACATGGACTGGCCTCCTGCTGGGACTCTGAGGAGCACAGGGACTGGACTCCTGCTGGGACTCTGAGGAGCACAGGGACTGGCCTCCTGCTGGGACTCTGAGGAGCACAGGGACTGGCCTCCTGCTGGGACTCTGAGGAGCACAGGGACTGGCCTCCTGCTGGGACTCTGAGGAGCACAGGGACTGGCCTCCTGCTGGGACCCTGAGGAGCACAGGGACTGGCCTCCTGCTGGGACCCTGAGGAGCACAGGGACTGGCCTCCTGCTGGGACTCTGAGGAGCACAGGGACTGGCCTCCTGCTGGGACCCTGAGGAGCACAGGGACTGGACTCCTGCTGGGACTCTGAGGAGCACAGGGACTGGCCTCCTGCTGGGACCCTGAGGAGCACAGGGACTGGCCTCCTGCTGGGACCCTGAGGAGCACAGGGACTGGCCTCCTGCTGGGACTCTGAGGAGCACAGGGACTGGCCTCCTGCTGGGACCCTGAGGAGCACAGGGACTGGCCTCCTGCTGGGACCCTGAGGAGCACAGGGACTGGCCTCCTGCTGGGACTCTGAGGAGCACAGGGACTGGCCTCCTGCTGGGACCCTGAGGAGCACAGGGACTGGCCTCCTGCTGGTCCCAGAGTCAGGACTAAACATGAGGAGGCGGCGTTTCAGATTTATTCTAACATCTGGAACAGTCTTCCTGAAAGTGTGAGACAGACTTCTTCTCTGACAAAGTTCAAATCCAGGTTAAAACAGTTCTGTTTCTGCAACAACTGAAGGATTTTATCTTTAGTCTTTTTAATGAACTGTGATTATTTTTTATTTCAAAGCTTTGTATGATTTTATGGTTTCGATCATGTTTTGTTTGCTTTGGGCATGAACTGCGCTAAACAAATAAACTGGCTAGAGCAGGACAACATCACATAAACCCTGGACTCAGAAACCACAGATTTAAACCTAAATGGTGATGTCACACAAACATTACTGAGGAGTTTACTTTGACATTAAGTCAATAGGAGTCAGAGGAGCCAAACTTCACCATGAGCACTTCCCTTTTGGGCGAGTTAGCACTGTCCATGGATAGACCATAGACTGTATTAACAGTTGTAGTGACGCCTGTAACACGAACCCATTCAAAATAATGGCCGCCGCAGGAACATGTGAAAACACGTTTACAGGCGTGTGTTGATCCTGAAACACACGCTCTGCAGCCAGAGTTCAGTAACATTTATATTTTATTGGAGAAACACAGTTCACGCCATAAAAGTGGACTGACAATAATATTTCACACAGAGCAGAGACTAAAGGGCAGATTGTAATTGTTCTGGTCTCGGCTTCATGTGGTCCTGAAACTGTGGCTTATCTGTGCGACGTATCAGTCTGGACAGAGCTCAGACCAGCCTCATCCGAGTCGCCGGGTCCTGGGCCAGTCCTGGACCAGTCCTGGGCCAGTCCTGGGCCAGTCCTGGGCCAGTCTACAGCCCTCTTACTCAAAGTTTGGACACCCCCGCTTCAGACTGAAGGGGCGGGGCATGTGTCGGAGCAGACTCAAAAGCACAACTGTTTTTGAGAAAATGTAGAATGTGTGTGTGTCCTGTGTGTGTGTTGTGTGTCCTATGTGTGTGTTGTGTATCCTGTGTGTGTTGTGTGTCCTTGTGTCTGAGGATCCAGAACAGTTCAGTGAATCTTGAACAAAAGAGATTCTGTGACATCACAATATTTAACAAACACAAACTCTGTAAAAACCTGCTCTTTTCACTTCAAGTAAACACACGACCTGAGCCGTTTCCACCAGCCCCACTGCCCCTACTCTACCCTCCCCTACCCTACTCTACCCTCCCCTACCCTACTCTACCCTATACTACCCTACCCTACTCTACCCTATACTACCCTACCCTCCCCTACCCTCCCCTACCCTACCCTATACTACCCTACCCTATACTACCCTACCCTCCCCTACTCTACCCTCCCCTACCCTATACTACCCTATACTACCCTACCCTACCCTACTCTACCCTATACTACCCTACCCTACCCTCCCCTCCCCTACTCTACCCTATACTACCCTCCCCTCCCCTACCCTATACTACCCTACCCTACTCTACCCTATACTACCCTACCCTACCCTCCCCTCCCCTACTCTACCCTATACTACCCTCCCCTCCCCTCCCCTACCCTACCCTATACTACCCTACCCTATACTACCCTACCCTATACTACCCTACCCTCCCCTACCCTACCCTATACTCCCCTACCCTACCCTATACTACCCTACCCTACCCTATACTACCCTACCCTACCCTACCCTACCAGGTCTTATGACTGTTCTGTGTCTTTGGGCAGCTCCAACACGCTCCTACTTTCTACTTTACATTAAGATAATATTTTCTCCACATCTTGTCATGGACCATCCTCAACTCTATAAGACTTTACAAAAATGGCCTCAAACTCGGGTTGTTTAAAGCTGAGGAACCTAATTCATCCATAGAATGTAAATCTGTGTCAAATCCATCTGGGTCTGAATCAGCTGCTTCTGTCACTAGTGTCATGTATGTTTGTCCTCTGTCACATTTTTGTCACAGCCAATCAGCTCTCAGCCTATCAGCTCTCAGCCAATCAGCTCCCAGCCAATCAGCTCTCAGCCAATCAGCTCTCAGCCTATCAGCTCCCAGCCAATCAGCTCTCAGCCAATCAGCTCTCAGCCAATCAGCTCTCAGCCAATCAGCTCTCAGCCAATCAGCTCTCAGCCAATCAGCTCTCAGCCTATCAGCTCCCAGCCAATCAGCTCTCAGCCAATCAGCTCCCAGCCAATCAGCTCTCAGCCAATCAGCTCTCAGCCTATCAGCTCTCAGCCAATCAGCTCTCAGCCAATCAGCTCTCAGCCAATCAGCTCACAGCCAATCAGCTCTCAGCCAATCAGCTGTCACCGAGCCCTGTCGCTATCTGTTTGGGCTGACAGCTGATTGGCTGAGAACAAATCAGATGACATTTGATTAGTTGAAGACAGCATGTTGTGGTTGATTTGTTCACAGAAATTTACTTTTACAAAACTCTATTGGGACAAAAACATGTATTATTTATAAGAAAAAGTAGGTACCTCAGCTTTAATTCTCTTTTCCATAATCTGAAAACACATCAGACCTAACAGTACTAATAAGAAGAGCCCTCCTGCTGCAGCGCCTGTGACTGGGACGCTGGGCCCTCTCCTCGGGGGCCTCTCCTCGGGGCCTCTCCTCGGGGCCTCCCCTCGGGGCCTCTCCTCAGGGGCCTCTCCTCGGGGCCTCTCCTCAGG